ACAAAAGAAATGGTGAAAACGATGATTTGGAAGCAAAGCAAATGTCTCTGTCATATACTAGTCCTGAGAAGTGGTGGGAAACTTAAAATGCAAATATTCAGTTTCTGACAGGATTGATGTTATTTGCTGCAAATTAATCTACCAGTCTTATGAATTTAGCTGATCATAATATATTTATGATATATTCCCTAAATAAATAAGTTCATGAAGACATTGTGTTCTGCCAATCTTTTCCAATTCAAACAACTGGAGATTTTCTTCTTTCCTTTCTTCTTGCCTTCCTTGTATCCTTTACTCATTCATCTTATAATTCCTGTGCACTGTTCCATCTAATAAGAACACAGCAGGGTTGTGAACAAGAGATAAGATCCCTTCCTTCATGAATCTTACATCCTGCTAGGAGGAAACAGACAATGAAAAGAAAAGAAAAATAATAGATAGGAATAAATGCTATCCAGAGAATTGAATGGAGCAATGTTGTAAAGTAAGTGGGGGGATCTGTAGGTTGGGTGGTCAGGCAAGCCATCTCAGAGAAGGTAACAGTTAAGCTCAGCCCAGAATGACAAGAAAGAACCAACTCTGCAAACAACAGGGGGCAGAACATTCCAAGCAGGGACAGCAGGTAGAGAGCAGTTCTCAACATGAAAGACATCCCCTTCTAGGAAGCATTTGCAAATGGGGAGGGGACAATGATCAGGGTATTTTACTAGCATTTGGGGGGGGGGGTACTGGGGATTGTACCCAGGGGTGCTTTACCACTGAGCCACATCCTCAGCCATTTTTTTTTTTTAATTTTGAGACAGGATCTGGTTAAATTGCTGATGCTGGCCTTGAACTTGTCTCAGCCTCTTGTCACAGTCTCCCAAGTCTGGGATTACAGGCAAGCACCACCCCACCAAGATTCTTCTGGCATTTCATGGGCAAACGCCAGGATGCTGCACATCTGTAATGCACAAGATAATCCTGCATGGCTTTCAAAGATCCCACCAGACCATGTAGATAGAAAACCTGTTTATCAGGATTGAGAACTTAATTCCACTTTACCCTTAAAAACAAAACATGTTTTGCACAGTGTTTGTATACATGGTATTTTCTAATGCAAGCACCATGTAAATAGAAGGAAGATTGTGTTTTCTTCCATTCAGAATCAAGAGTTGTTTGCTTTAAAAAATAAAAATAAAAACACCTCATCAATGACTAGATAGTACCACAGAAAACTATCTGATGGGAATGCTTCATAGAAAATTGAGGGAGGATAGAATTTTTTCAATTGATAATACATGTCCATGGAGAAAAGAAAAGAGAGGGGAAAGTGAAGTCAAAACACAATCCCTCTTCCACCTCTGTTCCCATATATTCTGGTTTCCTTCCTCAAAGATAACCTGATTATCAGGTTTGGGGATTTGTTTTTTGTTGTTGTTGTTGTATCCTTCTGGAGAAATAATTTCATTTTTATTTTGAAGGAAGGAAAGACGAATGGGAGAGAGGGAGGAGAGAAAAAAGGTGGGGGGAGGGAGGAATGACAGAAGGAGGAGAAAGAAGTGAAGGGAGAAGAAAACAACCTCAAATAAATTCAAAATTATTTGAGCACAAAGTCACAGAGTATGCATACACATATCACCAGTGGTTATCTCAGAGCATAGATGTCACTTTCCTTAGTACACTTCTGTACTATCTTGTACAACAGATATGTACCACTTTTGTAATTTGTGTAATTCCATAAGAGTGTTGAATAAAAGAAAAATTAGAAGAGTAGGACTCAATCAGCATTAGTATAAATGCTGTAAAATAGATTATAAGAAATATTAGGGGGTTGGAGTTGTGGCTCAGTGGTAGAGCGCTCACCTAGCATGTGCGAGGCCCTGGGTTCGATCCTCAACACCACATATAAATAAAGATATTGTGTGCAACTACAACTAAAAAATAAATAAATGTTTTTTAAAGAGAAATATTAGCAAGTTACACTAGATAATATGGTGAGCAGTTAGAAAGGAAACAGAAAAGTTAGAGTTGGAGAAATAACAAACTATTAGCATCTCCCAAAGCCTGAATAAGGTGATTGTCTGGAATGAGCTAACTACCTTTCTCCTGTTACAATTGTACTTCTAAAATATTTTAACTGACTGCCTATCCCCCCCCCCCCCACAGCATGAAGGAGGCCCTGGGCTCCATCCCTATCACCACACACACAAACACAAATCAATGCACATATTTTGCCCGAAGCTTAGTAAATGAATGAGACTAGCTGAATCAAATATGAACACATCTTGTTAGCACATTATCATGAAAACACAGAAGGCATCAGATATATACTTTGCTGTTACTCATTTTACTGTTCATTATCTGCAGAGAAAATATACTAAAATATACTTTTGAGATTAAAATAAACCATCAGCTCATTATCTTTCTTGGCCTCTAGCTATGAAGACTTAAAATGGCCCTTCTTGCATCTGGCTCACTTGAAAATCTTATTTGTGCTGAGGGGGGAGGGGGCAGGGTACTGGCAATGCTAAAGAAAAGAGTATTCAGTTCTCAAGACTGGTACAACTGAAACTCTCACATAAGTTGCCTTAAAACAAAACCAAATGACATAGCTCAGTTGATCCCATCTCCATACAATAGGGTATTGCATCAATTGTTCCAGTCCCAGGCCAAGCTCCCTGCAAGGGCTTTAGGATCCAGTCCTGTTGACAACAGAATGCTTTAGCACAGGCTAGTGCCTGAAGATTTCCTTATCACAGTCCCAAATCCCAATTCAAGTCCTTTAAAAATTTGTTGTCCTCTGATTTCCAGTCATAGACCTACTTTTGCCAATTTCCCACAACTATAAAATTAACTTACAGGAATGCAGGATAATTCACAAAACATGAAAAATAAGCATTTCCCAATTGCTGAGGGCAGAGCAGGGATTCTGTAAATATAACAAGTTCTCCCAATCAAAGCCCTGCAGCGCCTTCTAGAAAAACTTCCTTCATTTCTTTGTGTCAGAAATATTCAAAAATATTCAAAATCCTATCTTAGCAATTTTAAAATATACAATAAATTACTATAAATGTTTGAGGCAATGGATATGCTAATACAGTGATACATTATATACATGTATCCAGTATCACACTGCACCATATGAAAATGTACAATTACTATGTGTCAATTTAAATACACACAAAACAAACACACACACACTTAAAAAAAGAATTCATTTATTGTTAGTTGATGTACAAAGTAATACACAGTCCTGAAAGCAACTGGTCCCTGGGACATCTTGCTCACACTAATAGACTGTTCACTGTCCCTGTCCTTGTAATTATTATTATTGATATGGATTTTTTTAAAAAGAGAGATAGCTGGACATGGTGGAGCACACTTGTAATCTTAGCAATTCGGGAGGTTGAGGCAGGATGAACCCAAGTTCAAGACAGTCTTGGCATGTTAAATAAAAAGTTTAAAGGGCTGGGGGAACAGCTCAGTAGTAGAGCACCGTAGTTAATCCCCAGTAGTGCAAAAAAAAAAAAAAAAAAAAGAAAAAGAAAAGAAAAAAAAGTCATGGAGCCAGCCCAGTGCAGTGGTGCACACTTATAATTCTAGTAACTTGGGAGGCTGAGACAAGAAGGATCACAATTTAAAGTCAGTGTTGGCCATGTAAATAGGCCCTCAATAACCTAGCAAAACCCTGTCTTAAAAGAAAAAAAAAAAAGACTGGGGATGTAGCTCAATGATAGAGCCCTATTGGGTTCAATCTCCAGTTTTAAAAAAAAAGACAAAAATGCAAGTTTTTTAAAATTTATTAAAATCCTTCTTGGGGCTGGGGATGTGGCTCAAGCGGTAGCGCGCTCGCCTGGCATGTGTGTGGCCTGGGTTCAATCCTCAGCACCACATACAAACAAAGATGTTGTGTCTGCCAAAAACTGAAAAATAAATATTAAAAAATTCTCTCTCTCTCTCTAAAAAAATAAATAAATAAATAAAATCCTTTTTGGACTCTGGTCAAGTCACTCTTAGAGCCCTTCTTTGCCTCTAGTTGTCCCAGTAAGTAACAGAACCACTGATAATGTCCCTACTGGAGTTACACTCTACAGTACTAATGAATGTGTAGTGTAGCTCTTAGTAGATGTTGGCAGAAAAGTGATCAAGATTTAAATTTTGACTCTGCCTTCTAGTAGTATTGTGACCCTTAGCAAGTCAATGTCTTTGGATGTTAGTTTTCTGTGCTGTAAAGTACCACCATAACTAACATATGTACTGCTTACCTGTCCCAGTCATTGTTCATTTAATCCTTACAACAACCCTTAGGAGAAAGCGACCATAATCTTCACGTCACAGATGAAGCAACTGAGGCACAGTGAGATTCAGTGACTTCACCAAGGTCACACAGCTGGCAAATTGCAGTCAAGATTCTAAGGCAGGATCCAGATTCCAGGTTCTAACTACCAACCCTACAGCCTCTCCAAATGAGGTCATACCTACTAAGGGCTGTTTTGAGGATTAACTAAAATGATATTTGTAAAGTCCAGGACTTTGCAAGTGTCTGATAGGTAGCGGCCATGGTTGTGAATTGGTTTGTCCATTCTACACTGCATAACGTTCTGGGCTATTTATTGGGGTAGGAAAAAAAAAGATTGGAGAGAAAAGGAGAAAGAGGAAAGAGCAGGGGGAAGAAGAGGTCCAGGAGGCATGAGAAAAGGGACAAACCTGAAGAGGGGCAGAGGAATCTCTGAACACTTAGGAAACAAAAAATCTAGCTGGCTAGGCCTTGAGAAAATAGACTTAACTGTTCTCAACTGAAAACCGAGTCATGACAACTGAAGAGCCCCCATGCCATTCAACCAGGAGGCCTCGCCCCGGGTCAGCAGGCCCTCGACCCCACCCCTAGCCCCAAGGCAGGCTCAGGCGTGGACCGTGTTTCAGTTCCTCCTACGGGTCCGCCTCACGCCGGGCGGGGCCTGGCCCGCCCCCTTTGCTGGTGGCCCACGAACCCCAGGCCCGAGCCACGCGGTCTCCCGGGCCAGGCCGGGCCGGGCCGGGCTCTATGGCTACGTGGAGGCGGGACGGCCGGCTGACCGGCAGTCAGCGGCTTCTGTGCGCGGGGCTGGCGGGGACGCTCAGTCTCAGCCTCACTGCGCCCCTGGAGCTCGCCACCGTGCTGGCCCAGGTCGGCGTCGCACGAGGCCACGCCCGGGGACCATGGGCCATAGGACGCCGGGTGTGGCGGGCCGAGGGGCCCCGAGCCCTGTGGAAGGGGAATGGGGTGGCGTGCTTGCGCCTCTTCCCCTGCAGTGCTGTGCAACTCGCCGCTTACCGCAAGTAAGAGCCAGGCCGGCGCGGGTGGGGCAGGGAGGCCGGGACTGGGCCCGGTGCGGTGCGGCGGCTCACCGCCACCTTACTGTCTGAGGTCGGGCCCTATAGTGGGGCCTGACCCCTTCCACATCACATGGGGACTCTCGGAGCAGTTAGGCCACAAGGCTACACCTGGAGCCCCAAAGCCCAGTCCCTAAGTTGTTCACTTCCAGGGATTCCTGCCCTGGAAGATGCAGTTTTGTGGCACGCAGCCCAGGCCCTGGGAGTTTCCCCGGGTGAAAGGGGTGACGGGGTGGAATGGAGATTTGGGGTAAAGGAATGAGTTCTCCAAAGATGACTCCTGACCGTTCCCATCAATTCAACAACTTGGAAATTTTTGCTTTGGCTGGCTTCGGAGAGAGACCCTCTTGAAGGTGTGTGTGTGTGTGTGTGTGTGTGTGTAAGTGGGTCTGTGTGGCCAATGCCCAAGAAAAAAACCGTCTCAGTTGGGTGGGAGGGACTGGTTCCTCACCTCACAAAAGCCAAAGATTCCTGCCCACTCTCATCCCCAGCCCCAAACCCAGACTAATGCAAGCTTGACTTTAGACCCCAATGAAGGCTGCAGCTTCCCTGTCCCTAAGCTGTGAAGGGTTCCCTGGGCCTAATGCTTCACCTCACCCCCTTGCCCACTGGCCTTGTTCTTTGGGCTTTTGCACCTTCTCCTGCATCCATAGCTACTCCTTAGGAAAAAATCTAGATATGCACATGTGGAATGAGCCCAAAAGCTTCCTCAGGGCTTAGAGATATTTGCCTTGGAACTGGAAAAGCAGCCTAAAAGAAAACTGGAAGTGATGGCATTCTAGGAAAGGGAGCAGTTTCTGTATTTGGAAGGATGCTCCTTGTATTCTTATTCAGTGGACACTGGCCTTGTCTCTGAATTAGACAAACAGCACATAGCCCAGAGAGCAGATAAGTCTTTATTTGTTTGTGATTTTTTGTTTGTTTGCAGCACTGGGGTTCGAACCCAGAGCCTCATGTATGCTAGGCAAGCCCCTACCACTGAGCTACAACTCCAGTCTCAAGAGCTGGTGAGCCTTGACCTCATAGTTTAGCCTTGGTGGCTAACAGTCAAAGGATTTTTGCCTTGATGCTGTCACTTGGAAGGCTCACCTGACATGTCAAACAAAATTTTTCTCACAGAGTCCTCTCAGCTGGCATTCATTTTATTTCTGTCTGGGAGGAGCATTCCCTTCTCCTTCTCTGAGGAGAGAATCATGGGTAGGATTGTGTGCCATATCTGTCAAGGCTGTCTTCCCTCCACAGCCCCCCTTGCCCTCAGCAACATCTGCCTGCAGTCTGTAAATAATCTCTTCTAGGTTTTAATAATTGAATTTCTCCTCACCTCACCCTTTCTCCACAAAGTGATATGGAAATCTTCCTTTGCGTGGGATAGAAATGTGTACCACAGAACTGGAAGCAGAATTTCAAAAGGCAGGTTCAAGTATTGTGGCTTTTCTGCTAATCACCGTGTGTGTGTATGTGTATCATTACATTTCTACAACTCCTGTCTCCTGCCCTGTAAGGTCTTTAGACAGGAAGAATTATGTCCATTTGACAGATGCAGAATTGGGCTCAGACTGGTATACTACATCAGTGACAGAGTTGAGTGCTACCACGGGGCTCTCTGACTCCATTTCTCATACTCTTTCTATTCCATCTTGCCGCCTCACTCTCCCTTCCCCACCCCTCTCTCCAAATTTATTTGACATTAATTTACTTAGGGTACATGAAGTACTCACTGTGTGCATAATGCTGGGAACAATGCAAGGATGGGAGGGGATGATCTCTCTGCCTCCAAGAGCTTACAGAGTAATATAAGAATAAGACCAGTAGACTAGTAGGTGCATCTCTAACCATAACATATGAAGTAGCATATAATTGTTGTGGATAAAGTGCTATAGAAATGTGCACTTTGGATGAGGGAAGAAACAAAGAAGGCATAAAGACTTCACAGAGGAGGAAAAAGATTTGAGTTTGGCCTTGAGGTAAAGATCGGGAGAAAGAACTGCAGGTAATGTCAGCAAAGGCCAGAGGCGGGAAGGCATGCAGCATGACTGGAAATGCAGCAGGAAAGGCAGGTTGGGATATGATCTTGGAGGATCAGATTAAGGAATTTAGATTCAACTTGGTATGCAAGGTTAGCTGTGGGAAATTTTTTTGCAGGGTGGGGGAGGCAGTGTTGTGATTAAAGCAGTTCATGTAGAATGATTGTCATATGGTAGCATGGTAGGATGACTAGAAAGGAGGAAGGTTAGGGTGGCAGGACCAGTTAGGAACCTGTTGCTCTAGTCCACATGGCAACTGAGGGCACCTGAAATAGGCTAGTGACCGTAGAAGAGAACAATGCATGGGAGAACAGAGGGTTACATGAGCTAGATTTGCTAATATCTTTCTTCCTGCAGGATTATTTTCTTTCTGGAAGCTAAAAAGAAGTATTTCAATAAATGGCAAGGCATAGCCAGAAAGCAAAGTGGTTGATTAATCACAATGTCATCCTTCCTACCTAAAGATGATATTCATGATTCATCATTATACTGACTCATTTCTGCTCTTTTCCTGACGACAAATTTATAAAACAGGTGGATGGGATAATGTTACTGCTTCTGTTCGTGGGTTTGAACAAAGCATAAACATTTGGCATGTTCAGGAAACAGAGTGCTTAAGCCACTTGTCTGCAAACACAATGACACAGCTGGAACTTAAAACTGGGTCCTCTGGCTCCTGAAGCCACTCCAGGGCTCTGTCCACCATTTCACAGCAGAAATATCTGCTTATTCAAATTAAAGATCAAAAGAGTCCACTTGATAGTGTCTATCAGTAGGTAGGTTCCTGTCATAAACCAATGATAGATAACACAATGGATGGCTTAAAAATACATCAAATAGAAGAACCTCTCTCAACTTTATTTTTCTATCTAAACTTTGGTTTGGGTCCCTGCAGCTCTGAAATTGTTTAGAACCAATGCCATTTCCTTGTTGAACAACTGCTCCATGAGCATGTGTTTGGCTACATTTGCTGCTAGCCTGTGTTAGGTTGAAGTGTTAGCCATTCTAATCACACGTATCCAAGGTGTGTGGAATGTCTGTGCTGGCTGAAAGGAAGGGGTTACTGCAGTTCACTAGCTTATCCAGACTCCCCGGGGTGGGGGGGGGGAAGCTTCTGTGCATGTATGTATGTGTGGGGGTGGGAGGAAGAACAGAAATGGGAACCCCAGCATTCCCAGCCAATCAGACAAGCATTTAAGATGTAGGGACCAGGATAATGTCATTGGTGGCCAATCAGGGTTGCCTGTCTTGATTTAGCAATTCTAATGGGAGATTGGTGTTCCTTGTCCCTATGTCAGATGATAGGAGTCTGAGAAGAAAGGGTTACCTTTGGTTCTTCTTTTTAATTTTGTATATTTAATAGTAAGACCCTACTTGGGGCTGGGGTTGTGGCTCAGTGGTAGAGCACTTGCCTAGCATGTGTGAGGCCCTGGGTTCGAGTCTCAGTACTGCATATAAATAAAATAAAGGTCCATTTACAACTAAAATAAATATATAAAAAATAGTAAGACCCTACTTTATAAAATAGACTGATATAAGATAAGGTTCTACTTCTAGTTCAAGTCATCGAGAGGACCAAGGGCCTGTTTCCCACTGGTTGTTCCATTAGTCATTTCCTTATCAGGCTTGTTCAGCTCTCATATATGATCTATGCTGAGAGCTAGCACAGTGTCTGGCACATTATGGATATTCAACAAATGTGTAATTAATCAGTGTCCTAGAAGTGGCCAAGTGGAATGGGGAATAAGGGTGGGACAATGAGAATGAATGATGTCTCTTTTGGCAATTCATACTCCACCTTCTAGGTTGTTCCAGCTGCTGCCAACATCCAGTCAAGCATTTCCACTTCCTGTATCTTCCCTACCCCTCTAACTTGACAGCAGTGCCAAGGGAGAGGGGAGAGGAATGAGGAAGGATATAGACAGTAAGAATGAGGCAAATAGTATATTGGTGAATGCCAGCTTCAGTTACATGCATTATTAAAAAGTAGTTGGTTAACTCACTGGGTGCACTGGCACACACCTGTAATCCCAGCTACTTGGGAGGCTGAGGCAGGAGGATTGAACATTTGAGGCCAACCTGGGCAACTTTTTTTTAATTTTTATTTATTTTTTTTAGTCATACATGACAATAGAATGCATTTTGATATATAATACATACATGGAATGTACATAAATCAATCATATTGTCTTTTCTATTCTGCTGCCCTTCCTATCCTTCCTACTCCTCCCCTCCTCTCCCATTCTTCCTCTCTATCCAATCTAATGTGACACACTTTTTTTTTCTTTTTCTCATTACAATATCATATATGTATTCTGTATAACAATGAGGTTCTCCTTCCATCTTCTGTGCAACTCCCCTTCTCCCTCTTTTTCCCTCCCATCTCTCTTCCCTATTTAATGGTAGTCTTCTTCTCATGCTCTTCCTCCCTATCCCATTTTGAGTCACCCCCCTCATATCAGAGAAGACATTAAGCATTTGTTTTTTAGGGATTGGCTAACTTCACTTAGCTTAATCTGCTCTAATGCCATCCATTTGCCTGCAAATGCCATGATTTTATTATTTTTTTAGTGCTGAGTAATATTCCATTGTGTATAAATGCCACATTTTTTTAATCCATTCATCTATTGAAGGGCATCTAGGCCAACCTGGGCAACTTTTGAGACCCTGTGTCAAAAAGGGCTGGGGATGGACATAACTTAGTGATAAAGCACTCCTGCATTTGATTTCAGTACTCCCCCTCCAAAAAAATAGTTGGTTTACTCAAAGGATTGTTTGTTCTACAGCTCAGAAGAGATGTGTTTAATCAATGAATGTTTTCTAGGAGCAGAGGTGTTAGCCTAGAACCTTTTAAGATGGTTTCACCTTAACAGTCACTCATCATGCACAGGGCCCAGGCCTGCTGACAGCTGAATGAGCAAGAAATAACCTCTTCGCTAGAGGTTTGAAAGCCAAAGTACTGGGGATGCGCTCATTTTAAATAAATAAATAAATAAATAAATAAAACACTTATGTTAGTCTAGCTATGTTCACTTATATTTCAAACCTTCACTATCTCCCTCCCTATTTCCACTATCTGGCAGAAAATATTATTTTTTTCTGACTTCAAGCCCTTTAGTATTTTGTTCTCATCAGCAAAGAGTAAAATCCCTTTGCTTCCTGGCCAGAGAGTGGATGAAAAGTCCCCTTATAATGATTTCTGCCAGGATAGGCCCTTGTGACTGGGGATGCCCTTCTTAGAAGAATTGTAACAGAGAAGCTTTATGTTGTGGTTTGGAAAACTCCACCCAAATACATTTTAACTAAATTGTAAAACTGCAGAAAGATAAAAAGAATAGTCTACCAAACACTCAAACTGAATGGCCTCGAGTGATCCTCCCACTTCAGCCTCCTGAGTGGCTACAGGTATGGGTCACTGCATTGGGCAGCCACATTTCTTTTTCAGATACAAAAAGATGTAACAGAAAAAGCTGAATTCTTCATTCTCATTTCCAGTCCCATTCCTTCTCCTCTTTCCTGGAGGTTTATTTTCATACTTCTTCATATATATTTATTCATGAATAGTATAAGACATTGCTGTAAGGGTTTCTAAATTAAATAGATGGTTATCATACACTATATATCACTGCAGCTTGCTTTTTTTCATTCAACATTATGCTTTTATGATTTATCTATATTGACAAATAGTTCCAAGCTCATTCATCTTAATGGTTATTTAATATCTATGGTATGACAGTGCCACAATTTATCCATCTCCTTACCCATGGAAGTTTAGTTTGCATGAGCTTTTCATATTTATAAATACTACTGTAGTATGTCTTCATATATATACTTGCAAGGGTTTCTCTAGAATGTACACTTACAAGTGGAATTAATGGAATAAAGATAGATGTTTCTCCAGTTTCGATAGATACTGCAAAGTGGCCAAATTTCTATTCCTCCCAGCAATGGGTGAGACTTGTTTCCAAATTTGAAAGCCAATTCCCACCATCATTTCACATTATCAGACTTTTTTGACCTTTGCTAATCTTCTTGGTGATAAATGGTATCTTGTCATTGTTTTATTTGTCATTTTTCTGGTAACTACTGAGACAGAGCATCTTCTTTTATAATTATTGTTAAAAGGAAAATTCTGTAGATCAATTAAAGTCAGTAGAGCTTATTTGAACAAAACAAATACAAAATTCACATATCAAACAGCTCCCAGAATCAAGCAGGCTTGGCAAACTCCAAACAACAGTGTGGTCAGACACCATTTATAGTACAATAGAAGGAAAGCCTAGAAAACAACTTAATTAGCTACAGCCTAGTCAATCAATTAATCAGTTGGTTACACCTTAAGGCTAATTATTTATAGCCTAATAAGTTAACTAACTGGCTATAGGACCATCTGCAGCGAAAGCCCAGTTACTATGGTTAAACTCTGTATCAGGTCTGTTAGGCCCAGTATAGGTGCTCAATCCAAATCCATGACCTCCTACAAAACTTTAACATTACTAAATCTATATTTTCAAAACTCAGTTTCTGGGATGCTCAAAGTCGTCATTTCAAGAAATTCTATTCCTTTTAGGTTTTAACAGAACTGAGAGAGTGCATTCCAATTTAGTATTTGCCAAGTACTTCTGTGCGTTTATACCTCACAGGCAAGCTAGACTTGACAGATATGCAGATAAAAGGGGAAACTGCAGTGGGGCAGGGTGGCGCACACCTGTAATCCCAGTGGCTCAGGAGGCTGAGACAGGAGGATCTCAAGTTCAAAGTCAGCCTCAGCAACTTAGCTAGGTGCTAAGCATCTCAATGAGACCCTGTCTCTAAATAAAATTTAAAATAGGGCTGGAGATGTGGCTCAGTGGTTGAGAGCCCCTGAGTTCAATCCTTGGTACTCCCCCCAAAAAAAGCAGAAGGGGAAAACTGCTTGAAATGAAGTGGGAAGAATTTATGGTAGAAATAAATAAAAGGGTTAGGTATCTTTTCTTTATTGCTAACTAGCATTATAAAAATATAAGATTTAAGGGGAAGGGAAGGGGCATGGTGGAATGAAATGGATATCATTACCCTAAGTACATGTATGAAGACACAAATAGTGTGAAAATACTTTATATACTGCCAGAGATACAAAAAAAATGTGCTCTATCTGTGTAATATGAATTGTAATGCATTCTGCTGTCATATGTAACAAATTAGAATTAAAAATATAGGATTTAAATACATTATTCATCAATTCTAATAGTAGAAATTACCACTTTATAAAGCACTTATTTTGAGAAGTAGTGTAAACACAATCCATATCTGATTCTTTTGGGATTTTCCCTATTTTCTCCCAGGTTTGTTGGGCTGTTCACAGATGACTCAGGCCATATTTCCCAGCAGAGCTCTATTGTGGCTGGGAGTCTCGCAGGCATAGTCTCCACCATTGTGACATATCCTACAGACCTCATCAAAACCCGGTTAATTGTGCAGAACATGCTGGAACCGACTTACAAGGGAATCTTCCATGCTTTTTCTACTATTTATCAACAGGAAGGGTTCCTGGCCCTTTATCGAGGGGTTTCCCTCACTGTTTTAGGTAAGATGGAACATTTCACCTTGTTCAAGAAAAGGCTATGTTCTCTGGCATATGTGAATGTTTTACATACCTTTATAACCAGTGAAATCAGTTTCACCAAGGTCAAGTTTGTATGAATTCAATCCATATAAAGCCAATTACTTTATTCTGTTCCATAACCATATACCCCACTCCTAAACTTTGGCCAGTCACATTCCGTGGAAGAGAGGAGTACAGAATACAAGTGGTTCAGCTATACTGGTAGAAAAGCAGACCTCAACATTGCTGCTGGGCAGCATGATCTTTTCAAGTGCATTTGTTTCACCACCTGCCCTTTTTAAGCCTTCCTTGGCTCTTCTGAGCTAAGGAGGAAAACTCAAACTCCTTAGGGCATTTCAAATCCTTCAGACCTGCCCCTGCCAATCTAGTTCACCTTATCCCATCTGGTGCCATGCCTCCACCTGCACTCATGTGCAACCATACAGGACTTGTGTTTCCCAGAAATACTATTCCTTCATACATGCTATTCCCTCTGCCTGAACTGCCTTTCCACTCTCTTTATGCCTAATGAACTCCTACCCATTCCTCCAGACCAAGTTTAAAAGATCTCTCTTCTGTCGAGTCCTTCCTCATTCTCCCAGTCAAACCGAATCCTTTCAATCCTTGTGTACCTAAAGCATCTTGTATAGGCCCCTATTATGATGCATATCAGAGACCATACCCTTATTAGTTTTTCTGGGATCTTTTTTTTTTATTTTTTTTTAGTTGTAGATGGACACAATACCTTTATTTTATTTGTTTTTATTTTTATGTGGCACCAGGGATCGAACTCAGTGCCTCACACATGCTAGGCAAGTGCTCTACCACTGAGCCACAACCCTGGCCCTTTCTGGGATCTTTTGCCCTCAGTGATAACTATCTCCAGGAATTGGCCTGCACCCTTGTATTCCCAGCACCTGGCATAGGGCCCAGCACATACCATGAACTCTCCAAATTTTTCTGAATAAAGGTAAAAGGGAGGTTGGTGATTCATTTTTAATATGTTCATTAAATAAATATTACCTGATCTAAAGATAAGCAATCCCACTTGTGTTATCTCCTCTTTTCAATCTCATTTTGGGGGAGAAATTTAGTCCCTCTGTAAGCCAAAGATGTCGCCCAATTTCTGGAAGTTTGTAAGAGGGCCACCTATTGTGTTAGTGTCTCACCATCTTAGTTACTAGAAAGGTGAGGATGCCTCACAAGGTAGTGTGCCCACTGGGCCTTGATAAAACTGTGTCATTCTCAAAAGCAAGGTCAGATATCCTCCCCAAATACAGTTTTCACAAAACACTTTCTTAGCTAGAGACCAGTCCCTTCTAAGCTCCAAAATGTAATTTAAGTGCTGCCCACTAACTTTCCTTTTCTGGGAGTGATTTTTTCCCAACATTTTATTTGAGTCTCCCAGAAAAGTTAGAAGACTTATAAACACCATATACCTACCATTTAGATGCTACACTTATCATTTTGCCAGGGTGGAGGTGGGGATTGGTTGTTTTTGTTTTGTTTTGTGGGGGTTTGTTTTTGTTTGTAGTACTGGGTATTCAGCCCAAGGGCACTCTGACACTGAGCTATGTCCCCAGTCCTTTTTATTTTTAATTTTAAGACAGGGTCTCACTAAGTTGCCCAGGTTGGTCCTCCTGCCTTGGCCTCCCAAATAGATGGGATGACAGGTGTGTGCCATCATACCCAGCTCACTTAGCATTCTTGCTTTATCACATATCTATCCATCCTAATCTTCAGCTCATCTTTTTTTGATATTTTCATTTTATTTCTATGTGGTCCTGAGGATCGAACCCAGTGCCTCACACAATCTAGGTGAGCATGCTAGGGGATCGTTCTATCTCTGAGCCACAACCCCATCCCTCATCTTTTTATTGACAATTTCAATGTAACTTTTGAACATCAGTGCACTTGATCCTTCATCCCTGAACACTGAAAATGTATATCATTAACTCAAGTTCAATATTTACATTTGTATTTATGTTGAATTTATATACAGTAAAGTGCACACAAACCTTCACCTATAATGAACTATTTGATGCATTTTGATGAATGATACAACCCCTATCAAAATATAGAAGTCATGGTGGCACATGCCTGTAATCTGAGCAGCTCAGAAGACTGAGGCAGGAGGATTGCAAGTCCAAAGCCAGGCTTAGCAACTTAGCAAGGTCCTAAGCAACTCAGGGAGACTTGTCTCTAAATAAAATATAAAAAGGTCTGGGGATGTGGCTCAGTCTTTAAGTGCCCCTGGTTTCAATCCCTGGTACAAAAATTGTGTGTGTGTGTGTGTGTGTTAAAACCATATATATATATATATATATATATATATATATATATATATATATATATGTTTTTAACAGACTGTTCAATCCATATAGAGCTAATTACTTTATTCTGTTCCATAACTATATACCCCACTCCTAAACTTTGTTTTCTTCAGACAGCAGCCTCTTGTTGCTTTGCAGGTGCTCTTCCATTCTCCGTGGGCTCCCTTCTTGTTTACATGAACCTGGAGAAAATCTGGAACAGACCCCGAGACCAGTTCTCTCTGCTGCAGAACTTTACCACTGTCTGTCTGGCTGCTGCTGTGACCCAGACCCTCTCCTTTCCCTTTGACACCGTGAAGAGAAAGATGCAGGTGAGACGATGCCTTGAAGTGTTTGTGGGTGGATAAAAACAACAGCAAAGAATACCAGCCCCAAGTAATGCCAGACTTCCGAGGAGCTCATGACTGCTTGTGCAAATACTATGCAAACCCCAACTCTGTGGCATTTCTGCTGCTAACCTCAGGGCTGTTCGGCCTGAGCCCAAGCTGCCACCTGATACCATACTCTGTTCTCAGTCTTTTATGAAGCTTCCAAATAAGGCCCCTTTCAGTCCTCTCCTCCTGGATACATCATTGTGATTCTCCTTCCTCCAAGATTCACATAGTAGTATAGGTGCTTCATCAGTGCACCTTGCCTCAGTGAATTGACTGCCTAGGACAAATAAGCCAACAATTCTAGCCAGCAAGGATCCACTAGTCCCTGACGCCCTCACTGAGGACTAACTGCAGGACTAATGGTTAAAATAGGCCACATCTTAGTGGGATTGACCATGCATTGTCCTAATTGTTACCTGGGGAAACTTGCATTTTTTTCTATAGACCATAGAGGCAAGCCTAGTAGCAGAGCTTTCAAACTGAATAATTGGTTTATCCTAGAATGAGCCAGTTTTGATCAAAGAAAAATCAGACTGGTACAAATAAGGCTGGGGAAGTATAGCCACATGTGCATAATAGGAGCAGGCTCCCAATCCAAGCAGGATTGAGGCTTTGCATATTCCTTTAATCAAGATCTCTCCCTTAAAATTACACCTCCATTGGCTTGCTTGTCTCCCTCCTTTACCTCTTCTGGACAATTCCTGATTTATATAATTGATATATTCCTGAAGAGCTGCATAAAAATGAATTTGGGGTCAGTTGAATGCAATTTTTTTTCTTGTTACTGGGAATTGAACCCAGGGGTGCTTTACCTCTGAGCTACATCCTTAGCCCTTTTTATTTTTATTTTATTTTGAGACAGAGCTAATTACTTTATTCTGTTCCATAACCATATACCCCACTGCTAAGTTTCAGAGGTTGGCCTCTAACTTGCAATCCTCCTCCAGAATTGCTGCGATTATAGGCATGAGCCACTGCACTCAACTTGCAATTTTAAATTATTAGTCTCAGTCATTCATTTTTCCATGTGACTGACTTGTCCGCCTGCTTGCTCAGTGCCCCTCCCCACTTCCTGCTTCTACTTTGTAGTATTCTCTGCTGATCTGGGCCATTGCTTACCTCAGCACTAAAAAGCCTGAAGGTACTTATCTATCAAAGCTGCCTTTGGACAAACACACATGATCACATTCATTTCTGCCACTTCAGTCTATGACACTTCTCATCTGTCTGGGTTATGTTTCTTCCCTGTCCCTGACCAGATAAATAACAGTCACATTGTTATAAATGTAGTGTGGGTGCAAATTGAGAGGCTGCTTAGTGCATACTTATTTATTAATAGCATTGTTTCTAATTTTAAAAGTTATATACACATACTTAAAATGGTTAACATAGTTAATTTTATGCTATATATGTTTGGCCACCAAAAAAAAAGTAATGCATATAGGATATAGGGAATTGGAGGAATATATAAAAGTACAAAAAAAAACCACAATAAATTATCCATAGGTGGGCATGGTGGCATACCTGTAGTTCCCAGCTACTTGGGAGGCTGAAGCAGAAGAATCAGTTGAGCTCACAGATGTGAGAGAAGCTGGAGCAACATAATGAGATCTGATCTCAAAATAAATAAATAAAAATAGAAATTACCCATCCCATCACTCCATGGATTATAATGATGAAGAGTTTTTCTCTTATGTATATGTATGTATGTATAAATATAAGTATATATGTAAATATATGTAAGATTATTTCTTTTTATAGAATTGTGTCTTGATGGTAAATAAAAATGAATTTCCTGCTTTTTTCACTTATTATATAATGAGCTTTGCTCCAGGCTGTTAAGTATTTAATTATCGTATAATATTCCACCAAATTGATGTGCCAGAAAATATTTAATAGTTTCTCATTTTTTAAGAGTAATTTTTTCAAATTCTAAAGTATAATAACATTGCAGTGAAAACCCTTATGTTTTTTTCAGACCTGTGATAGTACTCTTAGGATATATTCCTAGAAATTAATGAACAAGACACAAGATATAAATTATTCTAAGGCTCTTAATGAAATTTACTCTGCAGAAATTTGTAAGTTTACACTTACACCAGCAGTAAGGGAAAGTGATTCATCTTCTAAATTCTCAACCTATATTATTGTTACTTTTTAAATCATATAGCTAAAAAATGGTATCTTATTGTTTCTAAGTGAGGTTGCACATTTTCCATATATCATTTGGCCCTTTGTATTTCTTTATAAATTTTCTCTTTGTGTCCTTTGCCTATTTTTCTAGGACACACAGATTTTTCTATTGATTGATAGAAATATTTATATATTAAAGGTATTAACCTTTTGTCACACAGTGCACATATTTTCCCAGTTTTACATTTGGCTTCTAATTCTATTTATGGGTTTCTGAGGTTTTTTTTTTCTTAGTTTTAGGTAGACACAATATCTTTATTTTATTTTATTTTTTATGTGGTGCTGAGAATCGAACCCAGTGCCTCATGCACGCTAGGCAAGCGCACTACCACTTGAGCCATATCCCCAGCCCTGGGTTGCTGTTTTGTTGTATGTATTTTTATTACTGTTTTGTTTCTAACTTTGCTTTTCTGCTTAAAGGGTCTACTTCATACTAATCTTATGAATAATTATTCACTTATATGTTGACTTTTTGGTGTTTGGTTTTTAGTACTGGGGATTGAACCCAGGGGCACTTTACCACTGAGCTACATCCCCAGCTGTTTTTTTGTTTGGTTGTTTTTTGTTTTTTTTGTTTTTGTTTTTGAGGCAGGGTCTTGCTGAGTTGCTTAGGGCCTTGCTATGTTGCTGAGGTTGACCTCAAACTTGCAATCTTCTTGCCTCAGCCTCCAGAGCTGCTGAGATTACAGGCGTGAGACACTGAGCTTGGCTTTATATGTTCTTTAAATATGTTTTGTCATAGTTTTCACACTTAACATTTGAATGCATTTAGAATTTACCTGGGGCATGATATGAGGCAGTCATCTAACTCTTAGTTCACCTTTTTGTGTGTGTGTGTGGCGATGGGGATTGAACCCAGGGCCTTGTGCATGTGAGGCAAGCACTATAACAGCTAAGCTATATCCTCAGCCCCATAAGCACTATTTTTTAATAACTTTTACTTTGTAATTTGACTTTTGCCACATGCTAAATGTTTAGAAATATTCTAGGGTCTCTATCTCTGGGCTGTATATTCTGTTCCGTTAATCTGTCAGTCTGTTCTTGTGCCAGTACCATGCTATTTCAATTACTATAGCTTTAAAATGGCTTTTATCTTCGTTGCACTTTTTAAAACACTTCCTTGATTACTCTCAGTGATTTGCTCTTCCTGATAAACTTTAGAATTACCTTGTGCTTAGAACTTTATTTATATTAAACTATAAACATGGAATAAATTATGTCAAACTTTCTATCTTCTTCAGGAATATAATATATCCTTTAGCTTTCTTTTTTTAGGTTGAACCAAATGAAATTGCCAGCATCCCACATTTTGACATATTCAAATGGCAATTTCATATGTTTCAACCCTTGAAAAGGTATTTTCTTCAGATGGTATTTATGCTCTTTCTAAAAAAGATACCTTCTTTAAAAAGAAAAAAAATGTTGCCAGGCATGCTGGTATACACCCATAATCTCAGTGACTTGAAGGCTGAGGCAGGAGGATTCCAAGTTCAAGGCCAGCCTCAGCAACTTCACAAGGTCCTAAGCAACACAGCGAAACCCCATCTCAAAATAAAAATAAAGAAAAAGAACTGGTGATGTCACTCAGTGATGAAGTTACCCTGGGTTCAATCCCTGTAGGAAGGAAGGAAGGAAGGAAGGAAGGGAGGGAGGGAGGGAGGGAGGAAGGAAGGAAGGAAGGAAGGAAGGAAGGAAGGAAGGAAGGAAGG